AAAGGCAGCACTGCCGCGTCGACAGTGAGCCCCGATACTTGTTCGAGATCGCCAGCGGCAAACTCCCGATCGGTCGGTCGGTCAGTCGCTCCTGAATCCGTTGGTCGGTCAGTCAGACCTAAGTTGGTCTCGGTCTCTGCGTATACAGTGTCGACACGCAGCCGCTTAAGTGGAAAGCTGTAGGCCTCCAAGTCCGAATCCGACTCACTTGAGGTGGACATACAGGCCATCGGGCTAGACGGCCCAGCCTGCGGCGGACGGGATGTCTGAATGCCGGAGGGCCCCGCCTGTGGCTCCTCAGACGCTTCAAGGCCCGAATCGGGCGGAGCAGTGGCTGCAGTTCCATCGTCGGTGGACGCAGCTTCGACGAGGCCGTAATACTGGTCGGCGGACTCGAGCAGCGCCCTGCTGGCGTTGGCTGCCCTCTGAAGTCGCTCCTCCGCCTGGGGTTTGGCCTGGGTCTTGCCATATGCTTTTGTGAGCAGATGACGGCACTCTTTTACGAGGCTTGTGACCATGTCACCCGTCAGGTCCAGCAGTGACCACCAATCCAGGCCATCTGTCATCTCGGCCAGATGTCCTTTGATGAAATTAAGGAACATTCTGACGGCATTGGTGGTCAGAGCGCCAGAGGCAGCGGACACGTTATAGCGGTCGCGCATGACTCGGCGCATCTTTCGGCGATTTTCTGCGACGGCCACGAGCTGCCGCCAGTCGACAAACTCTACATCCAGGGCACGTTCGAAAGAATGTAGTGCGTTCACCGTCGACTTTGACGGCTCGCACACTTCTCTGAATGTGGCATCGACGGAGAACAGCGCCATGGGCTGCGGATGGAGGAGCAGAGAGCTGCGCAGCAGGCGCTCTTCGCGCGGGCGAAAAGACGAGCCGTCCGACTCCTTGGCACTGGCCGCTGTGGCCTGCGCCAGGCTCGAGCCGTGCCGCCTTTGCTCGGCCTCGACAGCATCGTAGGCCGAGGGATGCAGAGGAATGCCCGCCCGCATGGCAATCTGCACGTTCTGACCCACCAGAACGTTATTCTGAGCGAAAACAGCGCGCCGCTTCTCGATGCGCTCCCCGGCGGTCATGCCCCGGTGGTGGGAGGAAAAGTGGCGAGCGAGGGCCTTGGCCACGCTTACGTCCCTGTCGCTTGCCTTTATGAGCTTGCCGCAGAAGCAGGAGACGCCCCGGTCGGAGCCCGCCCGGACCAAAGCGATGACGTCACGGAAAGAGCCCTTTATACCGGCGATCGGGCACGGCTGCATGCGGCACTCCCGTACATGGCGTGCGAATCGAGTCCGCTGGACGGACAGACCACAAGGGCAGGGAAGGACGGCCGGGTCCTCTTGCCAATCAGGTTCTCGTGGTCCGCATCTGACCTCGTGGGCCTGGGCGTCCTCGACCTCCAGGGGTTCGCCGGAACCCCTAGGAGCAGGAGGTTCTGGCCCATCGCCTGATGGGCCTGGCTGATTGTGACCCTCCTCGGGACCCTGCTGAACCAACTCTCCACCCTCAATAGCCTCGACATCCGAGCCTGAGCCTGAGCCTGAGAGCCTGACAGACATCTCGGCTTCCGAGGGCTCACTCGGCAGGTGGTCAGATCCAGAGTCCTTATCAGACACATTCGGGGGCACCAACTCCATGAACGAGGAAGCGGAACCCGCATCATCTGGGGAAACATCCTCCTCGGCTGCTTCGGGATGAAGGCCATCAAAATCGGGAGGACGAAAACTGCTTCTTTTTGTTCCACTCGGGCGGACCATTTTTTAATAATGATAAATTTTAGTGGCTGTAATTAGCAATTTCAAGGTCGGTAGGTTGATGAGAGATAGTGAGTTTTGGAAGGCCGTTCGTTAAGCTCCAGCTGCTCATAGAAGACGCAGCCTGTTACGCCCTGGCTTGACGAACCCGACCGAAGTCAGGTTCTTAGGCCCCAAGCGTGGAGGTATCACCGTTAGGTATCCCGGCTGGGTGGTGGATAGTTGGATCTGAAATGAAGGAGAAAGAGGGAGAATTTGGCGTAGGAAGGGTGACCGGTCACGCCGGTTGGTAGGTAGACGGCAAGAGCAGCGCCGGACCACACCTTCAATCCAACGGTAGCTCCGAGCCGGCTTTCCGTCAGTCAGGTGTAGCCCTAAGGAACGCTTCGCCGGTGCCGTATCTCGAACGCTTGCTGCTTCTTCTACCTGCGGCTTCACCCTTTCGCTGCTGCGCTTGCTGCCGACGCACTGATGCGAGTTCCGAGTAGCGAGGTAGAACCGCTACTGGTACTGACGTGATAGAACGGATCGTGCCACGTAACGTAATTGAAGGGTCGGCCGGGACTCCGTGAATGGGGTGCGGACTTGGATAAGGTGCGCACCAACAGGAAATTTTTTGAGCCATCTTGGAAGTCTAGCACCAAAACTCTCTAAGATACAATTGTTTGTCAGTTGAGCAGCAGATTCATAATCGCGACTATCAAACCAATACTTTGATATTCGGACGGGGAACGCAATAACTCATAAACCAATGAACCGATTTTGATCAGTAGGCGCTCATGCGAATCCACGTTCCTCAATGCAGATTGACAGTGATTTTAAGGTCATTGGCTTATGACCTTCGAGGTTAAGGTCATGGTCAAAGGACGGCGTTTGCTCTACAGCCTAAAGTTACTGTCTGATTGGCTTGAAAATGATCTTTATCGATTCCCCGACCACGATCCCAAATTGACAGCGATTTTTAGGTCACTAGGTCATGACCTTCAATGTCAATGTCAAGATCATAGGACGGGAAGCGCTATACAACCTAAAGTTACTGTCCGGATGGCCTACAAATGGTATCAATCGATTCCCCGACACCAAATCAAACTTGACAGCATTTTTCAGGTCCCTAGGTTAGGTCATAAACTTGAAAGTCATGGTCAAGGTTAAAGGACGGGAAACGCTATGCAGCCTTTTAGTTTAGCCCTCGCACGACCAGGCCATTTCTCATAACACGAACGACCAGGGGGGGGGGGGGTTGTTACGACCCCCCCCCCCCTGGCGTTTCGAAACGGAAGGTCGTAGAGCTTAGCGGAAAAAAACCAACGGATTGCTCTCAACGAGATCTCGCGATTGGTGGTATATTTTTTGGTCCTAGGTCAACATTTGACCTACTTATGACCGGTCAAAGGTCAAATTTTCCGAAAAAATCAAACTTTTTCAACTTTGCGCAACGATTGCGGCAAAACGGTGAGAGATATTAACTTCAAACCTTCAACAACGTATTCCCCACTCAATTCTGCATCATATATGGTGTTTTTGGTGTATTTACCCTATAAAAGTAAGAGGCCTATTGCTGATGAGTGATATGGTGTCACATCACCCTCCGGTGTTTGTCCCGATTCGTCGGCTGTTGACTGCACTGCTCCGCTATAAATACTGTAGGTAACGACTCAGAAAAGATATGTGGATATCCACTGCAATGTGGATAGCATCAGCAGAAAACCTCGGGACTCGGTACACACTTCGTGAAAATCCGGCCGGAGGCTGTACCTCTTATGACGTCATAACTCCGTGACCTGACCTGACCCGGTCAATTTTCTTGCACCACACGATAGCCAATGCTTGCCCCAACATGCATGGGACGTTTCATCATGATCCATCAAACAATGTGGGTATCACCGGCAGAAAACCTAGGGATTCGGCGCACACGTTTGGTAACTGTCGGCCGGAGGCTGTACCTCTTATGACGTCATAACTCCGTGACCTGACATGACCCGATCAATTTTTTTCGGCAAAAGATGCGCAAAGGCTGCCCCAGAGGGTATTGAAAATTTCAGCCCGCTACGACAAGCCGTTTAGCGTGCACTTCGAAAAAACCTCAGGGGGGGGTTGATACAACCCCCCCCCCCCTAGGCGTTCTAGGGTTAAGCAGGGAAGGCAGCTCAGTAACCCTCTAGGTACATTGACTTTCAGGTCAGAAGAGCCATAAGGGTAAATACGCGAAACATTTTTGTGTTTCGAAGGTTGTAGGCTGAAAACCACCGAACCAAAATCATGTTAATTGTGTCATTCAACGCACAATTGATGAACCTACAATATATCGTGACCGCAGTTTGGTAAAGGTTCCTAAACTGCCCACCAAGTGGCGCAAACATATGTCAACTTTGGCGCCGTCTAGCGGAAAGACCAAAAACGTCAAGAACTTCATTTTTCTATTCATCTCAGGGCGAGCTGGCTGCAAAGCGCCGGGCGTCACGTGTCCCTGGATCTCGACCTGGGTCAGCAGCTCGCCGTATACGTCCGCCGCACCGGACTGTCGGCGAGAGGGACAGGGGATCTGTCGTGTACGACGCGCCGCACCGTCTCCGATAGCTACGACTGCCGGCTGACGGGGGGGGGGGGGGGCGGTCAGTGCACACCGCACGGTCTCCGGGAGCGACTGTCGGCGAGAGTTTCCGTCTGCGGTGAACTCTGAGCTGCCGTATATTTCACCGTTGCTTGCTCTGCTGTCCGTTTGGTTTGATGCATCGCTTCCTGGCTACCACTCGCTCTTCTTGTTTCCTTTTGAGGTTCTTTCCGCACCGTTCTTAATTATCTTTGTTATCTCTCCTCTCTTCTCTTTTCTTTTGTATTGCCCGAGTCTCTTTTCTGTTTATACATCGTCATTTTCCCTCATTTTTTTCTGTCTCTCTTTCTCTTTCTCTCCCCTCTCTCCTTATCTCTTTCTTTTCCAATCTCCCTCGTATTTCAGTTTATCCACCCACCCATTCTCGATCCGGTTTCCATTCACTATCGCTCTGATCGCCGTGTCGTCAGTGCTGAGCTCACTGACCGCCCGGTCGGTGTCAGTGTCGTACGGTCTCCTCTCGGGGTGCCCGGACCGCACCGTGTCGCCGCCGGAGATGTCGGTCGGTCTCCGGGCCGCGGGTGGTCCGGAGACCGCGGTCCGGTCCTCCCCCACCCCCCATCGATCGGGAGGAGCGCGCCGCCGCCGACGGCAGGACCGCCGCGGGGTCGCCGCCGGCGGCCAGTCCGCCGCTGACCTGCGCACCGGCCGGCCGCCGCCATGGCTCCGTTCCCGGCCGTGGTCGACCTGAATATCGGCGGCGTGTGCTACACCACTGCGCTGAGCACACTCACCTCCTGCCCGGGATCGCTGCTAGCACAGCTGTTCACCGACGGCAGTGACCCGCCGCCGCAGGACTGCCGAGGGAGGTACTTCATCGACCGCGACGGCGTCCTCTTCCGCTACGTGCTCGACTTTCTGCGCACGCGGAAGGCGGTGCTGCCGGAGAGCTTCCAGGAGGGCAACCGGCTGCTGGCCGAGGCAGAGTTCTTCCAGCTGCCGGAGTTTGCCGAGGCGCTTCGCTCGACCCGCTCGGGTCCTCGGTCGGGGTTGTCCCCCGACCGCTCCCCCGGGTCAATCACCGTCTCCTACCGCGGTACGTTCGCGTTCGGCCGCGACGGCCTGGCCGACGTCAAGTTCCGTAAGTTAGCCCGTATCCTGGTCTGCGGTCGCGTCACGCTCTGCCGCGAGGCGTTCGGCGAGACGCTCAACGAGTCGCGCGACCCGGACAGGGGCCACGTGGACCGCTACACAGGCCGCTTCTTCCTGAAGCACTCGTTCCTGGAGCAGGCGTTCGACATGCTGTGCGAGGCCGGCTTCCGCATGGTGGGCAGCTGCGGCTCCAGCACGGCCGGCATCCCGGGCATCAACGACAAACCCGGCTCCGACTCGGAGGAGAACCGGTGGAACCACTACAACGAGTTCGTCTTTGTCCGCGACTGAGGACGGCGTGGATGACCGCCGAAGCTGCACAGGGTATATCCACTCGAGGCTGGCGACCGAAGAGGCGACTGCCTCCTCGACTGACAGTCGAGCGGAAAGTGGTCCAGCCATCAGGCGAATCGCAGCTGAATACACGAGAAGAGAAGTATAAGGCAGCGATTGAGAGTTGCTTTGCTGTCAGTCAGCTCTCTCACACCAACTTGGAGTTCGGAACAATTGTCTGGAGTGAGGACGCGACCGATAAGGTCCATGACCACAAGTGTGACAATCTGAGGGACGAGCTGAGTGCCAGAGGGCGGGAGTTTATGAACGAAAGAGATAATGACTGAATGTGGAACTCCGGCGGTATATAGATAAAGGTACGGTGTAGATATGAGGATGAGGATGACGAATACCGCTGGTAGAGCTGTTACAGATCGCCAGCAGACGAACCAATCCACTTGAACGGCCGCTATGCAGGCGCGCTATGACCTCGTTCACAGTTTATGGTCGCTAGTCCCGTTACTCCGTTACTTCACGTTACTTCAGTGATGTAGGTAGTTGTTCGTGACGCCTGCGTATTTCGGCGTATGGTGACAATCACTTTACGATAGACAGATTTATGACTTTATAGGTGTTCAGCTGGGAATGTTGGAACTTGTTATCAGGTGGGTGAGCTTTGGAGTTACCGGCCTTTGAATAATTGTTTGTGACTTTGTAAGGTTGAGCTAAGGCTGGGCGCAGATAAAGTAAGTTTTCAATCACTTCTTTCTAACAGTTTTCATCAAAAAAACCGCTAACAGATATAGACCACGTTTCCATGGGCTCACTGATCCGGATCAGTAAAAATGGATTAGCTAAATCCAGTATAGTTAGTCAATATATGAAAATGAAAATAAGGGATTAACTGATAATATAAGCCTAATCCATATCGAATGATATCATGTAGCGAAGAGTTCGAGAAACATAATACGATTTAAATTTGCTGATCCGGATCAGTGATGTCCATGGAAACGGGGTCATTGAGAAGTTTTGTTTATGTAATGGTTATGTGTTACTTGTTTCAGTCATGATAACTTAATAGCAATATTTATTGGTAAATAAACATAAGAATGTATGTATTTTGCAAAGATGCGTAAAGGTCAAATGAATGTTTGATCGGCACGTACCGGAGATGATGATTCTATATATGCAAGTTTGCCTGTTCATTTGTTATCAGTTTGGCATTTGTATCTTGTGATCATCACGATAAAAGAATATTATAGGATTGCTCTTAAGCCCTACAGGATATTATACGTCAATGTAATTCACAACGTAATTCACAGTGCGGCAGCTTCTGGCCTCATGCGTCTCACAGCATTGTTCGGCGGACGGGCGGGCGGGCGGGCGGTGTCAAGATAACATAAGCCGTTTCGCTTCACCAGCCACCGCCCTTACTTGGACGCGTGTAGTTAAGATATCCCCGGGCCGTGACAAAGCCCATCGTCTCCGTCGGAACAAAAATATGATTCCGGGCTATGGCGATAAAACTTCAGGAGCTCGATCGACGGGCGTTAGTGTCTATTGACGAAAACGGTCTGACATAGTCGCCGTCGGCTTTAGAATGAAGACAAATATGAATAATGCAGTGTTTTCGTTCTGAATCAGATAAATAAAATTGACGCTTGGATATTTTATCTTTCCGTTTACTTACGTGATTGTTTTTACAGCGTGACCTGCTACTTTTCGAAATTGTTGACCACAGAGGAAAGTAACTCTGACCGAACGAATTCGCTTAATGCTTTTCGGACCCGGATTGTCAGTTGCACTAGATCTGATGGCTAGGTGAATCACTGCACGCACTGTTAAATGTGACTGAACAGAGCTGTTTGCGTTCACTGTTCTGTACAGAGATGTCTGGTTGCTGCGCTGTGAAGATGCCAGCAGGTCTTTTTCTCGGTTACTGCTCTGCGTAGAGAAATGTCTGTGGTTGACAAGAACACAAGAAGAGGAGCTCTGTTGGTTATTATCTGCGCAGAGCTGTCATTGATTACTGTTCTGTCAATAGCTGTTTCCGATTACTGCTAAGGTAAAGATGACATTTACAGCTATTGCCCTGCGTAGAGAAGAAAAACATGGTTTTGCCCTTCGGATTTTTTTTTCGCCGCGCTCCTCCGTCTGTCAGGCCGCCGATACGCTGAGTTTGTCGTCACCACTCTGAATGAGTGCAAATGTTTCTCCGTTTTGGCATATTATTCAGCGGTGGTATTCGGGTGGGCAGGTTCTATCGACGAGGGAAGGACGCACGATTGATTTTGCATCGGCCCTCTGTCCGGGACCGTGCTGAACTGAATGTCCGCGACAGTCCCATATGGGTGGTTCCATACAACTGTGTCCATATGTTGCACGGTACGTAATTGCTTAATGCATTCATTTTATCGCTCCGAGTAGATTGGAAAAGTGTATGCCTCAGTTGTATTTTCCCAGCATCAACAAGTCATATTCAGTAATCGTGTGCGTGAAATTATTAGTACATTTAACTGCACCAGGTATAACAATTTTTCCATATTGCCGTCAATCAAAGACGGTGTCTATTAACTTTCAAGCTTGCGCTGAGCCTCAGAGCTTCAGACGGAAAAGCTAATGCTCTAAAGATTGCGTATGTGTTTACTGCAAACTCAGGAGCTATTTTGCCTGTATATTTTCAGCATTCTAGGAAAGTTGTACGCGGGTCCGGGAACTTCGCACTATTCGACTGAAGATGTGAGCTTCGTAGTCAGCGGGTTTATTGCAGCGGACAAACTACCACCTCGAGTGTCGCTTCAAAGGATTTCCGACTTTAATAGTGTGCGGGCTCTGTATCCACTCGTCCAAACTTGAAACACTTTGTCCAGTAGCGGCCCATAATTGGAGTGAGATGCTGTTAGGTATGTGTCTCCCTGTGTAGAGTAAATCAACATTCTGCATGCTATTCATGCATACACCTTAATTGCGGGCAATTTGCTGGTAATTTAAGACCCATGTTTACGGATACTTCGGTAGCCAATAATTCCGCTTTTTGATAGGTTGGTTCCTTATCCTTAGAATTGAACTCTTCCGATGCATTTTCAATCATTTGTGTAAAACATGTGTTTTTTGAGTCACGAAATTGTGGAAATGAAACTTATCACCAGAAAATCCAGTGAATGCAGCGTGCTCCCGTTGCGGAGCGGCCCACTTCGGTGTGTCCACGGTGTGAATGCCGACATGTCCGTATCGCGGAGGTCAATATTTGGAGTGGGCGCACCGGTCTGCGACACCTAACACAGAGCTTACCTGAGCTGCCAGTGTGCTGAGGAGTGGGGGGGGGGGGTGGAGTGGGACTGGGGACGGAAGTTCGGGGTGGAGTGGAAGAGGGACTGGGGATGGGAGAAGAGGGGTGGGAATGGGTGTAGAGCATGGGAGGGAGTGGGTCGGGGTGGGCACTATCGAACAGACAGCTGACGACACATGAGCCGGCGCGGCGGGACGGGCAGCCGCTTGCCCTGCGACCCAACAGCACTGTCCTGCCGGTTCTGCACTGACAGACCAGCCTTCTCAGGCCTCCCAGCTCCACAGTGACAGACCAGCCGTCCCAGACGGATGGCCGGAAATCAGCCGGACGCCGAAAAAGCACAGCGTCGACTGCAGAAAATGCCGAGAAGATTGCGGGGCGGACAGACTGTAAGACCGAGAGGCGACACACCGAGCCGGCGGTCCGTCAGGGCCTGGGCGAGCGGGAGCACTGAGCGCAGCTCATCCCACAGCCGGCGAGTGGGCCGCGTCTGGTGGCTGAGCCGCCAGCCAAATATTGGCCGGGACGCTGCCAGACTATTGATACGGGCGCCACCGAGCGAGTGGGGTACAAATAACCGACGAAATGATTTGCTGCGTGTGATTTGGTGCGAGTAAGGAGCGGAAACTGCGGGAGAAGTGATGGGTTGGAGTGAACCAGCTTTGCTTAGGACAGTATATAGGTGTTAATTTTGGCCGTGAGGATTTTATTCCCCATATGAGAGATATGATGCTAGCTTTACCAAGTAGATTCCGACCAAAATATGGTACAAATCGAATGATGTACCCACTCACCTTTGCAACTACTGAAGCGTGCCTCCAACTCCAGCGGTAAACACAAGTTAGCTAGTCGACCCAATGATTTGCTGTCAAAGTTAGTCGGAATCGTTCGCAACCAGGCCTTCTAACTCGGCGCTTGGAATAACAGAGGCTTTAGCGCCGTCACTTCGCTGTGCTCCGCACATCCAATTCAATTTACAACCCCTAGGCGAAGACCGAAAAACTCGCGAGCAGTGGACACGGACGTCGCGACGGCTTTATCTCCGCCGAGCATATCACTGGAGGTTATACTGTGCCGGTGGTCTCGCGTGTACTGCGGGTCAGCCTAACTGGGTCTGTCGTTCCCAATCTTTCCTCCCGCCCTCGCGCCGCGCAAATCCCTTTAGCCATTCCGCTGCTTTTCTGAGCTCTTGACCGTGATGGTGCGCTGGTCTTATCGGGTTTCTCTGTTCACTTAATGCGATTCATTATGTATTCATACAAAATAAAGGACTGATAACTGGAAAGACGGCTCTGAGGCCTCCGGCTCCAACACGTAGGATTTAGTCGTTGACTCCTCTCTTTTTCATTCTAGATTATTTCTCTTCCCTTTCTCCCTCCCTATTCTCTTTCCTTCTACCTTTATCCTCTCTCTCTCTCTCTCTCTCTCTCTCTCTCTCTCTCTCTCTCTCTCTCTCTCTCTCTCTCTCTCTCTCTCTCTCTCTCTCTCTCTCTCTCTCTCTCTCTCTCTCTCTCTCTCTCTCTCTCTCTCTCCGTTTGTATCTCCTCCATCCTCTTCTTTCTCTCTCCTTCCTCTTACGTTTCCCTCTATACTGTCTCCTCTTCCCCCGTGTTAGTGTGTCATCGCCGCTCTCTGTGCCGTTCCCAACCCTCTCCCCACATTCCTCCTCACATTTCTCCGCTGTCCTCCCCCGACCAGTGCGCACCGGACGGGAGCCGACTGATTCCCGTCGATCCCCGCAGAACACAATGGTGTGTCGCGGCTGAGCTCCCTCGCCCTGAGCTGCGACAGCACGCCGCCGTATTATCGCCTGTGGCACCGGACTGGCGCCACAGCGACAGACGTTTGTCCTAGTGGTGTGCCACTACCTGATGCGGTGGGGGGAGGGAGGTCTGTGGGGGGCGCATGGGGTGACGTGACATGGGAGCGTGACATAGGGGCGAGATATTGTCGATGCGGCAGTGGATCACGTAAGTAAGTACATACATACGCTGGAACGTGCGTGCGTGGAACGTGGTACGGTGGTTAGCATTGGGACACATGACGATACCAGGGACGTGACAACTGACACTAGTTAGAGCACGTGTGTGTCGATCATGAGGATGCGGTTAGGAGTCTACAGTGACGTCTAATTAATAAACAATGACGTGTAAGTGACATACGTGGTAAAATTGCAATATAACGCAAAAGCAAATGGTTATCCGTAAAAATCGTGCACCACAAACAGCACACAAAATTCATCCTTGCAAAAATAAGTCAAGCTTATGCATGGGTGATGCATATATATGTAGGTGCTCAAGTGAAATGTTGTGCCCGATTTCTTCGAGCTACCTAAACCAGGAAATGTTTCTCTTTCTCTAACAAACAGACGCTGCAAAAATCAACGTGTCATGGCTTCAACAACCTTGACCTTCATTCTCCACGCTGTCTATGGTCGAACAACGGACGATGACTGATGTGAATGTTCCGAACAGTAGAGCAGCGTCGTAGTTCGTGTCTTTGGCCATCAGTGCCGGACGCCGTGGCGGTGACCGGCGCGGGCACCCGGCGACGGAGCGGTGTCGGCGGCGACGATCCGTTCTCCGTCCGTCGGTATCCATCACGTCTCCGACGAATGGCCGTCGAACTTAAACCCAGGCCGACGGGAGTCTTCGGCACCCACCCCCGGCGTACGCGCTCCATGGAGCTGACCTGTGACCTGATTCGGGAGAGCAGCTGGCCGGCAGACGGCTGGTGCAGGGCCAGGTACTCAGAAATGTAGCCCTTAACCCGCGCCCTGGTGGGGTCTGTTTATAACGCGACCTGGTGGGGGGCTATTTTTTGCCCCCCCCCTCGTATCTCCGAAACTACTGGACGGATCCGCAAAATTCAAACCGCGTTCGAAAGGTCTGTCAAATTTGTCGAAGGAAACCAAATTTCATTGACCTCGGGGTCACCGATGACGTCACAGGTCAGGTCAAAGATGAAATGTTTTACCGTTCACGGGTCTTCTAGGGAATGCGCTATAACACCGAGGAAAACGCATTTTGTCGAGAATCAGCGATAGGGCGTCAGTTGCCTAGTAGATAATAGATATGTTGCTATTAGAGGTCACTAACAATACCAGGTCACGTCAAAGGTCAGGTCACCAAGGGTCACAGGTCAGGTCACATGAGCCCAACTTTATTAAGGTTGTGTGATGCATGTTTTATGGCCAATTTTTCATTTCCAACTCAATGGTGTTGGTTATAAGACTATCAGGTACGGCTTAGGTCACTTTCTGGTGAAGTTCAGGTCAAGGTCAGGTCAAGGTCAGGCCAAAAAGGTCAAATTTTAAAGTTGATTATTTTGCATAAAATGGGTATTGATTCGATGCAGCTCGTCACGGGGAGTCTAAA